CCCCCCCCCCCCCAGAAAAATTTCCTAGCTACGCCCCTGTCTACATGTCTGCCTGACTGCAACGAACTAGAGTACCGAAGAGAGGAAAATTGGATCGCGTCAAGCAGAAAGGAACCAAGCCACATCAGCTATTGCCAAATCTAACTGGGCAATTAAATTTGTTTCAAGAGAAACGTTTTTGCGGATTCCTTTCAAAATTTTGAGGAATTTGTTCCGTGCTGTGCAGAAACTTCACTGAAATTTGCAGAAAAATCCGCATACTCGTTTCCATGTAAAAAATCCAATTGCCCAATTACACGGAGAAAAAAACTTCGTGCGTGGGACCCGAAGTTGAGGTCATGTGGATCTCTGAAGTTTTCGTATCACGTATCTAAAAACTTGAGGTCCAGCTGCCGAAGTTCGGGTCAGACATCGAGGCACTTCGGTATGTACCGGAGTACTTCAGATGTGTGACCCGAACCCTTCGGTATGTATCGAAGTGCTTCAGATTCCTGATCCAAACTTCGGCAGATGGACCTGAAGTTTTTAGATACGTGATCCGAAAACTTCAGAGATCCACATGACCTCAACTTCGGGTCCCTCGCACGAAGTTTTCCTCTCCGTGTAAATTTGGCAGTATCCGATGCGGCTTGGTTCCTTTCCGCTTAACGCGGTCCAATTGGCCGTAGATAAAAATTCATATTTTCACACCGTAATGAATTCCGAGGATACTCAGGTCACTAAGTTGCCACAGCATAAACACGCCATTACCCAAAGAAACCTCAACTGCTCGGTTACTTTTTTTTGCAAAATTTTGATTAGGGGACGCGTGCAGTGCACCCGCTTTAATTTGCATCTTGTTTATAGCCCATTAGCCCTCGGACGGGACAATTTAAAGTTGAGGAAACGAGGACGTGCAATTTGCGACACGGGCGAGCGATACGCTCCCGCAATTCACTCAGTGCCCTTTGCGAGAAGATTAATTTTAAGAGCCGCTCCCTCCCGGCCGCAAAGCCCCTCCCCCGCGCGGAGAAGCTCATTGTGCATAAATCATTAAATCCCTGTTGCATTGGGGGGCGGGGGCGCGCCAAGACTGCTGCGGGCCGCGAGACGGACAAAAAGTGGGAACAAGAAGTGCCCAGCATAGCTAATGCGCTGCATTAACTGCAACAGTGCCAAGTAACCCCCAGCTCCAAATCAATTGACCCGAAGTTGCAGCCACAGCCGGTGCCTTCCAGCGTCACCCCCTCGGGGAGATATTTCATATTTCTCATCGGAATAGTCGGATAGTTTCACCTACAGTCCCTTTATACTGAGAGTCAAGACAATGTGAATCCATTTCTGATTGGTTCCCGTATTTTAGGCCTTCACAGTGTCACAAACGGGAATAAAGATTACATTTTCACCGATTGCAAAGATTATAATCTGGAATGGACCAAGGAATTATGGGTTCGGCAAGGAACAAACAGAACGAGAGGAGGAACGGAGAAAGGAATTTGAGAATGGGCCGATGAAAGATTACAAAAAACGTTCAATTTCTGTGATCTTTATTCCCGTTTGTGACTCCATGAGGGGGTGTTGTCTTGACTCTCAGTATAAAGGGACTCTAGTTTGACCCCGCGACGGCAACCCTGCGCTCGTGCCATCAGCAAGCAAGTCCTGGCAAAGGGATCCCAGATAAAATTACAAGAGAGCTCCAAGTTACAAAGTAAAGAAACTATGTCCCCACCGAGCAAAGTTGCGGTTGCAAGAGAGTCGGATGGATTTGAACAATAGCGGCGAGCTTGTTTTTGTCGAGTTAATTCAATTTCCCTCCGTTCGTCTCCCGGTAGCCTTGGTGGTCAATTTCATATTTATAACCGAACCCGAGAGGATTTTAGGTGCTTTGAACCCATCATCTGAGCTGATTTGATGTGTAAATGTAACTGAAAGTAAGTGCCAGTCGAGCGGGCTGTCCGGAGAGACTTGGAACGTCTTTCAGGGACCAAAATCACATTGACAATAACACTTCAAAAACACAGCTTCTAAGTGACGTTTTCGTCCGAAAACATATTTGTGGCTTGGATTTCATATGATTAATCTTGTTTATCAAAATATTTTGCACGTTCTGGTGTCATCATTACTTTTCTTTCAAAACTAGGCTTCAAAAGTTTATATTGCATGTTTTTAGTGTATGATAATGTTTATTTTGTTTTTTAAATATGAATTGGGGCAAAAAAATTGTCAAAGTGTTTTGTCATTTCGATCAACGGCCAAAAAAGCATTCGTTGCATCAGAATACAGTTGCATCCGTAGTGAGCGTCCTCGTCCTGCTCTTAAATGAATCGTATTCGCTACATCAAACGTACAGATGAGGTTGTATCGATATCGATTGGTTCAACATGTAAACATAGCCTTAAAATTCAATCGAATAATATATGAGGGAACGGGTATTTTGTGATTGATTTTTGATTCTTATGAATGCAATCTGGCCATGAGAAGTAAAATTATTAGGAATTTTCTCATTTTTAGCTTTTTTCAACTTAAATCCTAAAATTGTGTTTGAGGTTACGTTCTATTGTCTTGAACCAAACGATACATCGAATACAATCTATGGGAGTTCAAAGGGAATTAAGCGCTGAGGCAACCCGCGGGGGAGACTAGATCGGTGGCGTGGCGTGAATTACGATGTATCGATTGTTATGCCATTTAAACCTATGGAAAAGGATCGATAAATAAGGTGTTCGCAGCGAACTCCTTAAAAATCGATTCTTTACCATAGGTTTAAATGGCATAACAATTGATATATTGCAATTCACGCCACGCCACTGGACTAGATGTGATGGCTCGCGCGGACAAACTCGTAACAGTTCGTTGCTGCTTGTGAATTAATCTTCCCTAATATCAAATATCCCTTGAATTGTTCAAAGCAGATCATCTAACCGCGGGATATTTCATGTGTTTCAGACGGAGAACGGGTAGCCCAGCTTGGCGCGGGCGGCGGGTCCATATTCAAGCGGGGCGCCATGTACAAGGGCATCTACTGCCCCTCCCTCACCAACAGCTTCAGGGAGAAACATTTGGAGCTCTCGTATCAGCGTTACTCCCATCGGCAACGTCAAAAATCCCTCATCATCGTCAACGCCGTGGACATCGTCTTGAAATTCGTTCTCGCAGGTAATAATCAATCCCACCATATGTTTTAATGGGAAAAGGAGAGAAGCAGTGGCGTAGCTAGGAATTCTTTAGGGGGCGGGGGGGTGGTCCGAGACTGTAAATTTACATTATTTTGTGTACGCCCCTGATAATATTTTATGTCTGCCTCCCAAATGTAAAAAAAGGTAAAACTAACAAGGCTACGGGGGGGGGGGCACNTCCCCACATATCTACGTAGGAACAACCAACTCAAATATTCTAAGATTGGCTTTAAAACAATCTTACCTTATTTTTCGACGTAATTTCCATTCCTTTAGATGCATTTTTCATACACGGAAAAAAAAGTTCTGCCATTTTAATCGTCGCGACTGCTAAAAGAACAGCCCTTGGCTGTTAAAAAACGGCACAGCATCCTGGCAATTAAAATAACATTACCTTTGTCTGTTATTATAACAGGCGCTTTGCTGTCACATTGACAGTAAATGAGTGTAACAACGACAGCAAAATCTGCTCAACCTACATCAAATAGTCTGTTACACTGGCAGCGCAGCTGCTGGCGTAAACGCCGGTTCCCCATCAGATTGACGTTCACGCTNAATAACACATTAGGAAACATTCGGCAATCTCTGATGTATTTACGCTAATTCGAGTCGATTCCGTCCAATGGGTCAGTTACGCTGGTCACAGAACCCTCTTTTGATGCTTGATTCTTGTGGAGTGGACCAGCTAAAAATCAGATCTGTCTAAACTGCAACTATTATTCAAAATATCGCGTTTTGAAGAATTCGTTCGATGACTGCGGTAGTGACACCATTGGTTCTTTCAGTCAGTGAGACACACATTTGCACTGGTTACTTAACGATAAACTTGGATGAAAGAAAGATGGAAAGAAACCATGAGTGTCACTACCGCGGTGGATGACGTCATATCCCGAATTTTTCAAAGCGCGATATCACGATTAGTATTGATCTTAGAAAGTTGCTGTTTGGACAAATCTCATTACTTTTAGCTGATCTACTAGGTTCTAGCATCAAACCACGATTCTATGACTTGTGCAACTGCGGGCTGATTGTTGAAATTAATAGACAAAGAAGACACATAGCGATCCTATTGGTTGAAACGGTTGGTTCCCGTAGACTAAAGGAGAAAATGGTGGACTAACTATACGGTCTCTCGAGGGATGCCGTTAGTTAGTCTATTATCTACCCTCTGGGTGCATTGCAACCATAGCGAAAAGAAAGGAGGTGTTTGCATCTTGAGGATTGTGTACCCTGTGACGTAGGTCGGTACAACCTGGTCAGCAGAATCCGGAATTCGAAGTATGAAAAACGAACCATAACGTCCGAATTTTTACTTAAATCAACTCATGATATAATTTCAAACACTTTATGTTGAATGCATTTTTCCATAAAATACACCATCTCCAAGAAAATTGATTATAAAAATCGCCGTACCGACCTACGTCATCAAAAAAAATCCAAGATGCCCGCAATGCAAACACCTCCTTTTTTTTCTCTATGCATTGCAACCACCCGCTTCTTCCAATAGGACTCCTTGATATTCCTTTTGTCTTATTTGTCTATAGCTTTGTCTATCAACGTCAACAATCAGCCCGCAGACCCATTATAATTACCTCAAGTGATATCCGAATTTCCCGTTGTGTGAATCATTTTCCTTTTCCGTGGGAAAACATATAGGTAAATGGGCAGTCCGTGCTTTATCAAGTGCCCTTTTGACTATCTCTGGTTGAGTATTTAATTTAAGCTCTCTTTGAAATGGGTTTCAATCCGTCTGTTGCAGCTCTGTGGATGGCAAACCACCGGGAGAAGGTTGAGCCGGCGCGCGTAATTTTGACCACAGTATACACGGCCGGTAATTTCACCCTGGCCGTTCTCAGTGGCTGGCGCTGTTTCGCCAACAATTACCTCCAGTGGGCTGCTATACTAACGTGGATTCTTTTGAACGTTCAAGGTCAGCACTTTTTTTTAAACTAAGCCTCAATTTCTTTATTAGTTCAAATAACTTTTACTCAACTTTTTTCATGTGACAGGTTTTTTCCAAAAAATTTCAATTTTTTTTGCCACCTTGTGTGTAATTTTAAGGATGTTTAACTGCTGTAAAAACACCTGTAGCTTTTGATAAATCTTCTTTTCCATTCAGAAAAAAACCAATTGTTTCATAAAATTTGCACATTATGGTCTTCTTCAATTGTTCTAAAACAACGAGGGTAGTTTTATTTTTTCATAGTTTTTGTTTCAATTAATTACCTTGTTGTGGAGCGAAAAATTGTCGTTGAAAATGTAGTTGTTCTTTGTCGATGCTGTTGACCAATTTAAAGCGTATAGTAAAGGATCGTCTGAACTTGTCAATTTCCTTAAGATGCGAATTTCCAAATCGACAACCCTTTATATCGAACACGATCTCACAAACTTACACTACCACACAACAACTATCACAACTTACACTAACTATCACAACTATCACACTACTACTCAACTATCTACTCACTATCTACTTAACTATCACAAACTTATTGTTTTTTTTTCTAATATCGTCGTTTATCAGGAAGCCCGGTTATCATATGTTTGACGGTCCAAACTAATAACTCACGGGTTTGCGTGGTATTAAAATGATCAGAGGTTATGTTGAGGTTAGGATGAGCATTTTGGAAACACAACAGATGGTATGAGGGTGACCGATGCGCTTCAGAACAGCTTTAGCTCGGTGTCGTCAAACAGTTGTGTGAGATATAACAGCTTAGGTGTCCTGACGCATTCTATGCTCGAATGAAAGGAACTTGGGTGGGGTCTGAAATTGTGTTCCATGTAGTGTTGTCAAGTTTAGATCGATTTACAGCATTCGGGGTGGTAATTTCCAGGCAGTAGATTCATCAAAATGAAATGGAAAATCCTCCTTTAATTTAGTCCATTCAAAACTCGGCTAGTATAGATTCCTTCAACCCAATTAAACTAATAAGAGAAATCATTTTGATTAAAGTAAATTTGTTAAAATATCTTTTTTTATACATTTGCTCGTCTTTGCAGAAGGAATTAAGTTATTCATTGCCAAAGACATGTTTCGGTTGTGGAAATATTCCAATTGTCGATACGTCAAGCCAATTACTTTCTGTGAAAAGTTGTAAACTTGAACCACTTTTCACGCATTTCTGCAATTTCCGCAAAATTGAAGCCGGTAATACTGAATCCAAAGATCGGGACGGAAAAATTAGCAGACAATTTTTAATACCAGAAAAGAAAGCAATTAAAATAAATGCTATGAGATTCTGGAAAAATCTATCTCGCAATAAATTCTCGCTTAATCGTTCGTAAGGCTTCTTACGATGTGATTCCTGTCATCACGTATTGAATCACGCACAATATGTACATTCATTGAACTTTTGTAATATTCATGTAAACAATGGTTTTACACATGTATATGTATGATACTCGCATTTTTAAACACCGTAATTGATTGAATCAATTCATTTTCTTATTAATTCCCCCATAGAAAGATATTTAACAATGATCATTTGACACCTATGTCTCGGCCTAGCTCAATGGTGGATTAACCCAATGTGAACCTTAGCTTTTCTCGCTACAGGGTTTACTAAGCCATGCCAAGCCTTCCGGGGCCTAGGGCTGCCCTCCGGTTTACTTATCTATGGTAAGAGGAGGAAAGTGACTAGTCATGACAATTCATTAGCATAGCAATAAAGTCATTATGAGTCCCTTCCTTACAGGATATACAAGTTGAATTTGTTTCTTAAAAATATTCTTCGGCATCATGATTTAAAAAGTTTACACTGTATAATGGAGGCTCGCAAAAGTGTTTAACACGATGTTTAAACGATGTTCATGAATTTTTTGGAATTTTTGAGAGTCAGGGGTGTTATTTTACTCAAAATTCAAGGGGTGGGACAAAACTATCGAGTACCTAGCCAACAATTTTCCCCTGGAGGGGAGGGGCTGCAAGATTTCATACAATCTCGAAAGATTCCCTCAAATTGAACGAAGCTGCCTTCGAGTTTAAGAGAATCCCCTCTCTCTCAAAAAAAAAAAAAATTGAATCTTAAATTTGAGGGGAAGGAGGCAATTCCTGTCAATTCTCCCCTCATTTACCAAATGATTCCAATAAAAGTTTGACAGAATATTGAACTCACCAGGTACGTAAATAAATATATACTAGAATGAAGAAAACGGCAATGAAAAAGTGCGCGAAATAATGGGCGTGGAGAAGGACATCGTAAACGATATCAGGTCCAAGCAGTTTGTCTGGTATGGACATGTGCGAAGGATAGCAGACGATCGGTTGACTAAGCAGATTTTCGATTGGGTTCCTCCCGGAAGGCGACGGCGTGGACGTCCTGTGAAAGGTTGGCGACAAAGGGTGGAGGAGGAGATCAGAAGGTGCCCATTGCCTGATGATCTCTGGGGGGATAGGGGGCAATGGCGATTGGGCGTCGCAGAGCGCGAGGCGGCGCTGTGAAGTGAAAGCGACTTAATGTGTGTATGAAGAAAACGGGAAAATAATTGCTTCGTGTAGATTCAGCCTCAGAGTATCACTCCATTTTCCTCTGCTGTAACTTGAACGTCATTCTCATTCACCCCTTTTTTAATTTTTTCTTTTTTCTTAAATTGCCAACCTTTCTGACGCACAGCGGACAGCAAGATTGAGCTCTGCAGTTAAACGTGTTTAGTAGGAGAACGGAGCTGACTGACACAGGCAATAGGCCGAACACGCGGGGTGCACGGGAAGTGTGGGAAAAATTCGGTGTTTTGAGTGATGGCCGGAGGAAAATATTCAGTTGTTCCCACGGAACGTGTTTTCACGTGGATACGCGTCACGCGACTTGAGCGGCCGCGACTGTCTCGTCGTGCGTGAAATGAAAAGTTTCCATCCACATGCAAACATGGGAAAACGAACATCATTTCGGGTCTGATACGGAAACCGCGCGCGGGAAAGTTTCAAATCCACGTCTGACAGCTTCTTGCAGTCGCGTAATCCTGGGAAAACAGAAGATGTTATTTTATCATTTTTCCGCGACACATCTAATCTCTAAATCTGTTCAGCAGATAAAGTGGCCAGGTATGCTCCGTTGCCGGAGATGTGCGAGCTCGCTCTCTTCAATCCCTTCCGGACCGACAACCGTCCGGAAATACACCACATTAGTAGTTATTTGTCTTAAAATCTTCCTTGAAATCACAAACTGCGGGCCGATTATTGAAACTGATGGACAAAGCGATAGACAAAGAAGACATAGGGAGTATGGAGCGATCCTATTGGTTGACATGGTTGGTTCTTATAGACTAAGGAAGAAAATGATGGACTAACTGTCGGGTCTTTAGTGGGTTGCCGTTAGTTAGTCCATTACCTACCTCCTTTATCCATTGCCACCACCTGCTTTCCACCAATAGGATCCCTTCAAATCTCTTTTGTCGTCTTTGTCTATAGCTTTGTCTATAAGTTTCAATAATCGGCCCGCAGATCGCGGTAGACGCACGTGTCATATAGACAGTAAGTTGGAATTGGATTACATTTTGCAATAAGGAACCACTATTTTTGGTCCATTTTAGAAACAACATGCATGACATTAGTTTCCTTATGTAGATATGTGCTTTTATGGAAGAACCAGAGACAGTGGTTCCTTTTTGCAAAATGTAATCCAATTGCAGCCAACGTGCGTTACCTTTCAGAAGACTGAAAATCTCCACACAGAAGGAAAAAGCTAACCAAGCACAATTTTCAAGCTGACCAGGTTGGCCTAGCGGTCAGCTGTCTGACTCCAGGCCAATAGGTCCAGAATTCGGATCCTGATGGTGGTGGTGACAAATTTTAAAGGAACTGACAAGTGGATCTGCAAAAACAGACTCCTTTTGCCCTTAATCCCTGAAAAAGTGTAAGCCTGGAGAATAGATGTGTATTGACCCCGACTCGATGCTCGTTCAAGGTTTCAGAATCCTAATATGGATTAAAAACCTCCAATAACTTAAAAAAGAAGAAGAAAAAACAAATTTCCTTCAAAGAGATACGTTGTTGATACGTTGCGTGTACCTTAAAATCGGCCTTAATATCATTGAGCAGACTATATTGAAGATTTTTTTTCTTAAACTAAATTTTCAATGAACCGAAAGTATGCGTGTTATGTTGAGCTGGACACCCCTTTGGACCGATCATTGAAATTGATAGACAACGCTATAAACAAAGAAGACAAAGAGAAAATTGAGCGATTCTATGGGTGAGAGCCGATGGTTACAGTAGACAAAGGAGGCAAGCATTAGACAAACACTCATTTTCCCCCTTGGTCTTTAACAACCACCGGTTTCAACCGATACTATAGCTTCATTTTCCCTCTGTCTTCTATATCTATCGCTTTGTCTATCAATTTCAATATTCAGCCGGCTGATAACTGATAACACGATCCACTCATTCATTTACTGAAAGCTCTGCTGCTTTCGCAAAACTCTTCCCCGACGACGTTACACTCAAACTCGTTAGCAACAGTTACAATCTCCTTCAAAACGGCAAGTATGCAATAAAATACCTTCGAGCTGAAATAGTTGCTCACTGGGCGCCTGCCAATGCGAGCGTCAGTCGCCGCGCCGCGTCGTATGGACTCACTGACCTACTCCTCAAATGACGAACTTCTTCTTCACAAAAGTTCATTGCAATAGTTGATCTTTTTTAAACTTTTTCTAACTTCTAGCCTCTATACTCATCCTCTGTTTTTTTCTCTCGGTTAAAAATAGTCCAGCCGAAGTTGGTTGAACTTATTTGAGGCAATGAAGCTGATCTCTAGATTATTTCCTGATTGAATTTCATGTGCTTCAAGTGTCGGGATTGTTGGCGAAGAGAATGGAGGGAAGGGCGTCGACGACCCTAATGACCATACCTTTCACGCTATTTGCTCTTAATTGGTCTCTCTTCCCTGTACCGTATCGCCACATTTTCCGCGAAGAGAATACACGGGTGCA